CCAATTATATTTTATTATTATTTTTGCACTGATTTTTGATAAATAAATATCTATATTTTGTATACTTTGGTATTCCTCTTGTCTTCGAAGTCAGCGCAAATGAAAGAACTCGCGTAAATTTTGTTTTATGGAAATACATTGGGAATCTCCTTAACCATAGATTTTCATTTGTTTTCCATAAACAGTACTGTATATCAGAGCAGTATAAACATTCTGACAGGACAGTGGGTTCATGCAGATCAGTGTAAAAGATACTGCTGATGGGAATTTGATTCTGCTCTTGTTCTTTTTTTCTAGAGACCTATTGGAGCGAGAGATTGGCAAGTCAAGGTCTCTGGAACATGAATGGAAAGATGATAAACATCTTGCTGGCCATCTATCTGGGCCACACCACCTGGCAAATTTATGCGGACGATTATTCAGGGGACTATGTGGAAGAGGAAAAGCTTGAACCAAATTATTTGTCAACATCCATTGCCTCAACAATCATGGAGTTAGTAGATCTGGAGGAAAAGCAAGGGAAGAATGATAGCAGGAAAAGGAAGGTTAGGCTTATAGTGGAAGGTCCTAGGCTACCGGAAACCTATCAATGGGGTCGCCAAGGAAACGTGCCGTATAAAGTGACATTTGCTTTTGGACGAATTAACCCTAATGTAACAGTAGGGAGAAGTGTAGATAAGCAGGGCTTGCAAACCATAATACCGGGATCTCTCCAAACGTTTGATCAAAAATTGCAACAAAGGATTATTCAAATGGTGGATATTGACCCTCGATCAACTTCCATAGAAATTCAAGTTGCCCTTAATGCACAGGATACAACTGTGTCAGCTCGCACTATACGTCGCCATCTGAATGAAAAGGGACGCTATGGTAGGAGACTCAGGTATACTGAGACCGCCGCAGCCGGGACGGATCCCGACATTACTGTCAAGATCCACCCAGCTGAGTGATTGACAGCTGGCTCTGCCTATCTAGAGGCAGAGCCAGCTGTACCCGCCCCCTCCCCGTCCGTTCCGCCACTGCTGACACAGAAACATAAAAGAGCCACATTAGAGTTTGCAAAAACTTACCTGAGGAAGCCAAAATCCTTTTGGGAGAATGTGCTGTGGACAGACGAAACAAAATGACAGCTTTTTGGTAAAGCCCATCATTCTACTGTTTTCAGAAAAAGAAATGAGAAAAACACAGTCCCAACAGTCAAACATGGTGGAGGTTCACCAATATTTTGGGGTTGCTTTGCTGCTTCAGGCATTGGATGTCTTGACTGTGTGCATGGCATTATGAAATATGAAGACTACCAAATAATTCTGGGGTGCAATGTAGGGCCCAGTGTCAGAAAGTTGGGTCTTCGTCAGAGGCCATGGGTCTTACAGCAGGACAATGACCCAAAGCACACGTCAGAAAGCACCCAGAAATGGTTACAAAGCGCTGGAGAGTACTGGACTGGCCAGCAATGAGTCCAGATCCAAATCCTATAGAGCACCTGTGGGAAAAAGAACCCTTCCAATCTGAGAGACCTGGAGCAGTTGGCAAAAGAAGAGTGGTCCAAAATTTCTGTAGAGAGGTGTAAGAAACTCCTTGATTGTTACAGGAAGCGATTGATTTCAGTATTTTTTGTTTCCAAGGACTGTGCTACCAAATATTAATT